GCAGACTCCCCGCCGAGCAGGGAGCCCGATGCGGGACTCGATCCAGGGACTCCGGGATCATGACCTGAGCCGAAGGCAGTCGCTTAACCAACTGAGACACCCAGGCGCCCCAGGAATATTGCATTTATGATCTCCAAAATACTAAGGATTAAGGATATCATGCAAAGAAATGAACTGAATAACACAGGAGGAATATACATCCTCGCCAAGTGTGGAAAATAATAGGACCAAGTTATGCTGTGCAAAGAGCCAGTACATTTCTGGAGAAAGCACAGGACATGCAACAGTAACCCTTTCCCATTTGTCGTTTGCTCCCTCGCCGTAACACAGGTGGAGCTACCTTGTTCTTCGTCTGAGTGGCCACTGCCCAGCCCCTGAAGGCAAATGGGTTGTGACTCTCCGGGCCCGAGCCTGGCCTGTGGCTGGAGCAGCGGCTCCAAATTGGCAGTGTCATGTCCCCAGTGCCTAGCCCAGGTCTTGAGACATGCTCTGCACTGAAACGTGTTTTCAGGTGAACAAATGAAGGCAGAGTCAGGTACTGTATGTCAGGTTTTCTTCTTCTTTGAGAGAGTACGTGCACGCATGTGTGAGCAGAGGGAGAGGGGGAGAGAATGTCCAGCAGATTCCCTGCTGAGCACGGAGCCTGAAGCGGGGCTTGATCTCAAGACCCCGAGAACATTACCTAAGCCGAAATCCAGAGTTGGAAGCTTAACCAACTGAGCCCCCAGGTGCTCCTGTCAGTTTCTTTCTGATGTGCTGTTCTGGTGTTGGCCCTAGTCCAGCAGGAAGAATGCTGTGCAGCCTCCTATGGGACGGGCATGCATATGCGCACACACGTGTGTCTCCAAGCAGGTGGTCTGAGCGGTTTCATCATCTTATATCCATGTAATGCACATAGATATTGTCTGCTTTTAGGACATATGAAAATTTCTAATGTATAAGAGGAAAAGATATTCAATCTGTGCTTTCTCTATAGGATTTTAACCTACAGGCAAACTGAAAGCTTAGCACCTCATCTACTCATTATCAGGTTTGTTACTGGAGTTTCAAAGTCCACTCAGGGGCAAGTTCAGTACCTTGGTTTTTAGGAAAACAAATGGTGTAGGAGAAAAAGGAATCATTACCTTTAGCTTACAGAAACCCCAAAGAACACTGGCATATTCCTGCTCATTCTACTCAAAGCTAAGTCTTTGCTTTCCAAATCTTTAAACCTTAAATCTGTAATCTTTGAGAAGATTAGTTTGGGCATCCTCTGGCTAAATGGAAGGAAAAAAAAAAAAAAGGCAAACCCCTTCACCAGAGAAAAGCTGTAAGGAAAGGAGCAGGGCTCAGGCACCATGGAGAATGGATGTTGAGGAAAGCATGCGTGGACATGCACACAAAGAACTGACACGCAAAGACTTCGAGTACATGATTGCTAAGTTTAATTCAACGGTTATATCCAATCCTGCCTTGTAAAAACAAAATGCCCCTATCAAAACTATATTCTGATGTGAGTACAGGCTTCTTGTTTTTGATACAGCTCTAGAAAAAATTTGGCACCAAATGCACATAAAAAAAGTTTTAAGGCTTAATAAAAATACAGACTAATAATTTCAAAATGCAGCTTAGAGGTTGAGAACAGGATGCTGAGTTAATGAATTTCCAAATACAGGCAGTCCCCGATGTATAGAGCATTTTCCAAATATAAATGGCCACCTCCATCCGGCTCACAGGAGCAGAAAGTCCTCTCCTGCTTTTCCCAGTTACCAGACTACCAGGCACTCTAAACCCACTTCTACAGCCCCAGGGAGGGAAGGCTGGGGAGAGAAGGAAGGCAGGGCATCTGTCTACACTGCACAGAGGCTCCTGCTACAGTTCTCCTTTGCCTGCATCCCTGCCTCTGCTCCCCATCTCCACCCAGTATCCCTGCAGATGGACAGAACTGGGTGGACAGTGAGGGAAGGGGCGAAGCCACAGGGCCCAGCAGTACAATGTCAGGGTTCCTGGCAATCCAATTTGGCATCCACGGATCATTTTGTTGCATACTAAAAACCACAACAAAACATAGTCATAAATGGAAGTTCACTTCTACCATGAGAACATTGCATTAAACAAAAGTTAGTGTGTTTGGGCTTAAACCCTAACTACCATTTATGACATTTTCTAATGGGGAAAAAAATGCTCTGAATTCCAAACAACTTTCCTATAAGTGGCCATTTGAAGGGTGGAGACAGGAAGTACTTGAGAGAGTCACATGGAAAGAGTTTCTTGCCTCCTGAGTGAACAGGGCAGTTGAAAGGGGGAAAACAAACGGTCTTTGGTTGACAAAGCCACGTGCAGGTCCCCCCAGTGTGCCAGGTGTAAGAGGCAGCGCTCAGCAGATAGCTCCTGCAGGCACTTAAGTGTCTAGGCCACTGTGGGTACGATAAAACACAGCATTGTTGCTTTTTTAAATTTCAGTCATGATGCAGGTATTTTTAGTACCTAGCATTAGCTTTGCAGGCTCTCATACCAAGATGTACCCCGACCTGAAGCCTGTCCTCTGTTAACTGTTGGTCCAACATGAGTGAGGTGCAAGGTCTGAGACTGAGCCCTGTAGGGCCAACCGGGAGAAACTCTGCCTGCCGGGACCAAAGCAACAGCGCTCTGGCCAGCCCGTTCTCTGTGCCGACAAGCATCATGGAATCAGCTAGTTGAGACTTTGATGTCAAACTACTTAATTTTCTGGGCCAAGGTCTCCAGGTTTCTTCTGGAAACTGAATATGGTCCAGAGGTTCTGCAAAGCTTTATAAAGAGCAGCTAAGCAAAGTTTCTTCCTCTTGGTTGTACCTGAGCAACTGACTTTTTCCTAGAAAGGTTGTCAGAAACAGGGCAGAGTCAACAGTCACTTATGTAAAGCTGGTATTTTAGAAAAGCTTTTTAGATATTATTAAAGATTCAAACCGAAGAACCCAAGGTTCTGAAGCATCTCTTCTTCCCACCGTCAACAGGAGTAAAGACGCATGAAGGATTTCAGTCACCCCATTGCCTGGATGCATGTGGACAGTTCTACAGCTGCAGGAGCCGGGGGGGGGGCGGGGGAAGGGGGGGCCTGCCCACAGGAAGAACTGTGGTTTGACAAGGGAGCTGTCTGCATCCCTGGAGAAGGGCACAGGCCTAGACAGGAGGCCACTCAGGAAAAGAAGGAACAATTCACGGCAAAACCAGCCTGGGAATGAAAAGCAGAGATTCCTACGTAAGATCTGGCCAAGCTTTTAAATGGCAGAAATGGAGCACCTCAGCGGATCAGGGCACAAAATCTTTCCCTAAAGCATGAGACTGAGAATAACTTTTTGGTTTTTGTTGACAGCTGCCGAGGACAAGCAACCGAGGTGGCTCAGGAAGCGTGCAGAGCACCACACTGGGGCTGACCGGAAAGGAGGCACCGGGGGCCTGCAGAGGCAGTCCCAGGGATGGAAACGGTCCCGTGGTGAATGGGGTGAGAACCTGCGGGGCCAGCCAGAGACCCCCAGTCCCCACCAGTAGTGTTTTGGCCTGTGCCTTGCTCGTCTATCCCACAGCAACACACAGGTTGTTTCTTATTTTCTTGCCAAGGCTTTAAACTTAAACTCTGCTACTGTGTTCGTGATCTCCAGACCCCCGGTTGGCCAGCAGAGCACCGGTGCGGCGAGGCTGTGGGCAGCCCCACGCCACCAGGCCTCAGCGTGGCCTCGCACCACCTGCCCCCATACCCCTCGTTGAGTCCCGTCACATGTGCAGTTACAGTGAGTCCCGTTTTATCCCCACCAAGACAGGTCTCCCGCAGTCTGGAGGTAAGGTCCCCCCGGCTCTGTGACGGCAGTGGGGCCTGAGCAGCGGCTTCAGATACACAGCAGACCCTCTCCCCACCCGGCTCCTTTGGGCTAAAAGAAACTATAGTATTTGAAATCCTATCTCTCCGGGTTCTTGCCTGGCTACGCAGCAGCAGCCCCTCTTAGTAGAAGGAGATACTGGATTTGCCTCCAGGTGGGTTAAGGACTTTGTTATGAGAGCGTGGCCTCGGGCCCAACCTGGGCTCATGGCTGTCCCCCGCGGGCATGGGCACCGGCTGCTGGGCGCGGCCCGCTTCTCCAGGGCCTCCCTTCTCACCGGGCTCTTCTCTGGGCGACGAGCTCGTTGCGGCTGTGGGACAAAGTCGACATGCCATCCCGTTAAGAGGCCACGAACCAAACAGGCAAGCTGCACCTACAGAGTCTGTGGCCCAGAGTAGCCAGCAGGAAGTGCACAGTGTGATGGGAAAAGAGGAGCGCACAGAGCCAGGCCTCCATCTTGTCCCAAGAAGACTGATTAGCGGAGGCCGTTCCTGAACTGGGCCAAAGCTGGGGCTTCGTACTATAAACTCCTTAATAGGTTCCTAATAAGCCGATTACTTTACACTGCTTGTGGGACCCCATCCCCCCTTCTGCCACCTCAAGGATAAATAACCAACTTTCTCAACTTGAACATGAAAAGGAAGAGAAGGAGCTCATCTCAACTGGGGATCTAACAAGGGGAGGTGAGGCTTGCTGACACTCCTCCTCGAACTTTCTAGATGAACGAATGCCCCTGTGTCTTGGTTATCAATTGAGGGAGTGGTGACCCGCAGCAGAGCCAGCTAGGAGAGCAAGGCAGGGCTCAGAGCCAGACGCCCAGCTCCTGGCCTTCTTCAAATACTATATATCCTCTTGGTAACAAACATGCCCTTGTTTCTGTCAGCAGGCCTAGAAGGGGCACAGAATGTTCCTGCTCACCCTCTAGGGGCGTACCAGCACCTCTCCCAGAGCAGAGCACTTAGCGGAAGGGACAGAGAACAGCAACTCACCTTTAGGGGCTGATTTTGGGTCTTCTCCCTCACACAAGAACACATGGTCCTGCAACGAGGCAAACCCCAGGTTAGTACGTGATTCAGACATTTTACCCTCATTCAAATGGATGATGAAAATCAGGGCACAAATGGGTTTATGTTTAACTTTTCAACATCTTTTATTGTGGCCGTTCTGAACCATGAGCAAAGTGGAGGGAGCGATGACATGAATCTCCCATAGCCTGCCACAGCTGTGACCTGCTCACCGCCATCCAGATCTCAGCCACACACTTCCAACCACACTGCCTCTGCCCCTTGGGCGAGTATTTTAAAGCAAATCCCAGATATTTCGATTACCCACAAATATTCCAATTTAAAAATGTCCTTTGGGCGGCTGGGGGGGTGGCGCACTCAGACAGTGAAGCGTCCAACTCTTAATTTTGGCACAGGTCATGATCCCAGCACTACACTGTTTGGATTAGAACTCTGTAGTCAGTTCTGAGATTGGGAAGTGAGAGTTCTCCAACTCTGTTCTTCACTGTTAAGCTGTCTGGCTACTCAGGGTCCCTTGAGATTCCCTATGAATTTTAGGATAGATCTTTCCACTTAAAAAAAAAAATAAAGTAAAACCAAAACAAACCAAACAATATGGTTAGGACTTTGATAGGGACTGTATTCTTCCCCTCCCCTGCTTTTTTAGGGGTGAGGGGAGGGAGGGGTAGATAGAGAATCCTAAGGAGACTCCCTGCTGAGCGCAGAGCCCGATGTGGGGCTCGATCCTACAAACCTGAGATCATGACCTGAGCCAAAATGAAGAGTTGAACACTTAATTTAAGCCACCCAGGTGCTGATAAGGACTGTATTTTTTAAATCTCTTTTTAATCATCAGGATTACTGACTGCCCTCTAATGACTGCTATGTGAAGTCCTCCATTTTGTATTACTCAGACCGAATCCCTGTGGTGTCAATTAATATGAGGGTTGGTCTGACTTGGGCCTGATTTTTTGATAAGAATTTAAAGGTGGGCTGTGATGTTCTGTAAGGACATATATTTTTGGTCGTCTCTCATTTTGTGATGTTAGCCACTGATGCTCATTGTGGAGATCCAGGATTTTATTACAAGTCGGCAAAATGGTGATATTTGAATTCTGTTATTCCGTCTTCATTTTTGGCTGAGTACCCCTATAAAAGGAAAATTCCCTCAGCAGCAGCCCCCCCGAGACGCGCCGCATGCATCCTCTGGCATTCTCTAAGCCACAAATTAGACTTTAAAAAATAGTGAAATTTTATGAGATGTTCAATTTTCTGAAGAGCCTCACCGCCCTCAGGGCAGAGAGGGGAGCAGACCATCGGCAGGGGCAGTCGCCTCCACCTGCACACCAAGGCCAGCGTCCCCAGGCTTCATTCATCACGAGACTGGAGTGCCTTTCTTTGCTGACTCGGGAGCTGTGAAACTCTGTGACTAAGGGCTGCATTCAGCAAAACCAACGTCACCCACTCTGCCTCTTCCTGGTCACACACCACACCTGCCTTAGAGCCTTTCCAAGGACTACTTAGCTCAATTTTTGTTTCTCTTACTTTCACGTCTGCTACCTGAATGTAACCCATACCTTGGGTTTGTTTGGGTGTGCCAAAGGTGAAGTGGCAGCAACTGGGGACCCAAAAATGTCACTGGTCTTCCCGCCAGGTGGGTTCAGACGCTGTCGAGTCTGCACAGGTGTGGATTCGTCAAAGATACCGCTTCCTTTCCCCCCTGTAGAAACAATTACGTAACAGTGAGCAACCCAGAATAGCCACTGGGTGCCACCCTCCACCTTCATTACTTCAGAGACCTCCCCTCACAGGGACACCCCAGTGCCAGTCCCTAGTTCAGGCCAACAAGGAGGTGTGATCAGGTTGATGAGGGTTCCTAAAGATGTACGTCAAAACCAACCCCTTTATCGGGGGCCTGTTGGGACCTTCATTTCTGGAAGCTGACCTGGGCTGGCCTCTAAAGCAAGATGATAAGATGGCATAAAACAGCATTTCCCATTTAGAACTTCCTTAACCTTGAACTTGTCATGTTGTCCTGTTGAAGAATCTTCTTCATTAAACCATAAAAAGTTCTTTATGTTAAAAGCAAATAGCTGTTGCATTTTTAGGCCAGACAGATAGAAATGAATTTAACAACATACCATATTCACAGCAAATCTGGAATCTGGAAAAAACACCTATTAGTCATTCTTCTGACCTCATTCTGGCCAGAACTCCCAGGGACAACTAGGTATGTCAGCAAATTACAGACACACAACACCCTACAGTGCAACTCTAAGTGATCTGATGAGCCATAATGAAAATATGCATCCAACATGTAACTTCTCATAAGCTGATGAGTCTGGCCAGACATCAAAGTCAACGCCCAAATGCCTCTGTTAAGCAGAAAGACGGCAGCCACACAACACCAGCTGGCGTCTCTTCACTTGGCAAAAGCCAGCACCTTTCCGTGGAGAGCTGTGCTAATGGAGGTGGGCCACCAGTCACGGCCCTGGGGCACCAAGGACTTACAATCTTACAAGAGGAAAGAAGATGCATTCCACTAACTAGCTAGACGATCACACACCAATTAGTTGGCCTTTCTGTGCCCCCAGATGCTCAACTATAGAAAGAGCAGAACAAAGGGACCTGCTGCAGGTCCTTCCAATGACTCACCGTAGCTCACACGTCAAATGCTTAGAACAATGCCAGGGACACAAATGCTCAATAAACATTCACTTTATTTTCCACGTACTGATAAAGAAACATCTCCTGGACGTATATACTGCTCAGTGAAAAAAGGCGGAAGACAATCTATACAGCGTGTAACATTTTAATATAAACGGAGGAGGTATTCTCACTCACCTGTGTCTGAACAGAAAAGTGGTTACTCCACCCCCCCTTGACTGTGGCTCCCCATGGGGGCTGTGTGCACAGGACCCGGGGCTGGACGGGCCGTGGGATGCAAGACTGTTTAGCATGTCCTTTCTCAGAGCTTTGATCTTCTCTTACTGTTTTCAAGAGCCCACGTGGCAAGCAGTCACTTCCTGGCTAAAATCGCCCTCGCCGCTAACAGAGAAACACGAGCACGCAGAACAACCTGGACGCCTAGCTCCCCGTTGGCCCCGTGGGGAAGGGCTCCATCAGCGGTTCGTGCTCTCACTTGCCTTCAGAACCATCCTGAGGGCCCCAGCAGCCAGAGCGGACTGTAAAACAGAGTGGCCTCTGGGGCGCAGCCTTGTGGGGACATATAGAGTGCAAGCCCAGTGAGAACTGGAACAGAGCGCAGGAAAGAGCCCTTTTGGAGCAGAAGAGAGGGTCAAGAACGTGCGGGGCTGCCTGTGCAGGAGATGCATGCACACTCGTGTCATCTTGGTGCCAACATACCTCACCCTCCCAGGACCCACAGGCCCGGGCTGGAGATGCCCACACAGCACAGCGCTGGGCCGCCAGGTGGAGCCCCTGTGCGGTCACTCGCCCAACTCTGAGCCCCGACAAGTGGCCGGAACCTTCTCGCCTCCATCTATTAACTGGTCGTAAGTAACAAGAGTACTGATCTAGGGCCATTGGTGACATAAGCGAGTGAATGCACATGAAGTACGCAGAGCACTGCCTGGCAGAGTCAGCCTTCAGTGATGCTGCTGGGCTGCCATCAACAAAATATCTCCGCCACAAAGTGGAGAAAACCACAGCTTCAGCTCATCCCATACTGCGCCGTTTCTGGTTGTGCTACAAAGGCTTAAGTAAATTCTCTTAAAAATGTGCATTCATTTAAAAAAAAAAAAAAATTTAAAAGTAACTCAATTTGAAGTTTTTGGCTAAAGACACTGCTCATTAAAAAACTGTTCTTAAATTATGAACCATAACACAAAAGTTCCTAAGACATAATCATCACAAATAACAAAGACGACCCAGGTCACTACCACCTGGAGTGTACAGAGCACAACGGCTCCCAGAACCCTGGGTGTCCTTCCCCGCACCCCAGGTCACCAGACGCCTGCATTTCCTGCAGACCACAATAACAAACTTGTTATTGTTGGTATGTTTTTACTGTGTGTATGTCTAACACTAAACAATGTAGTTCTGTTTTTGTACTTTATAAAAAGGAATCACTCTGCTTGCCCGTTAGTCAACATTTTACCTGAAAGATGAACTCAGCTCTGAAGAAAGAAAAGATGTTCAATTTAGTCATAAAGATAAATTCAAGATAGGCTTTTTTAAAAGATTTATTTCCGAGAGAGAGCGCGAGATAGAGCACGCACACACAAGCAGGAGAGGCAGGGGTAGAGGGAGAATCTCAAGCAGACTCCATGCTGAGTGCGGAGCCCAGCAACCCTGAGATCATAACCTGAGCCAAAACGAAGAGTCAGACGCTTAACTGACTGGGCCACCCGGGTGCCCCTAAGATATGCTTCTGTAAGAACCAAACTGCAAAAGACAGACACCCTGCTGGCAGAGTGGGGAGCGAGCATCACATACATGGTGGTGCATGCTGGGGCCCTCTCACAACCAGGTGGAAGTGTCTATCAGAATTTTAAATTGATCCAGCAATTCCATGTCGAAAAACTTACCCCAACTGATTTTTCAGGTAAGTTTAGAGCATGAGCTCTGGAGTCAGGCAAACTGGGATCCAAGGGCTAGTTGTGCCACCAGCTAGGTGTGAGCTCTGGGTGTAGCAGTGAACCTCCCTGAGCCTCTGTTTCCCTCTCTGTCAAGAGGCGCCCCCCCACCTACCTCCTAGGGGTGGAGAGAGGGCCACACGAATACACGGAAAGCACTGAGCCCAGTCCCTGGCCAATACGGAACTGTCCATACGTCTCTGCCATCAGTGTTGGAACAGGGAGAGTAATTTGGGAGAGATGTGAGCCAGGCAACCAGCAGAGCCCGTGCGTGAAGGGTAAAGAAACACTGGGTATGACAATTCTTGGCAAATGCTCAGTGACGATCACGGCTCAGTCACGCCCCCCATCCTGGACACGTTTCTCAATCAGGCCCTCTCATCAGAGGGCAGGAGCCTGGGTCCGCGGTGAGGCGAGGGGGGCACACTGGCAGTTTTCCCTTTCGGCCTTCCCTTGAGAATTCATCAGATTGTTTGCCAAGAGCACTTGGCAGGCCAGAAAACAGACCCCAAACAATAATAGCAGGAGAAGCAGGAACCCGGCACAGGGAGTGAATTCAGCGGCCGTTGCCACATCTTGTGACCGCGAACAACACAGAGGCTCTCTATCTCTCCAGTCTAGAGGGACCCAGGCTGCCCGCTGGGGAATCAGATGAGGTTGAGGGTCTGCAGAGCAGCACCGCCCCAAGCTGCCATACTTTCCAGGGAACCCGACACCCCAGGGGCAGCTCCAGACGCCCTCTGTTGAGCTGGCAGCCAGTTATAGGTACACAAGCTAACATACGGTACTTATTCTGCTGTCGCCGATACAAAGATGTGCGGGGCTGACCACTCCAGCCCCACACCTGTAAGCTGGACATGATGAGAATGTTCCTCACTTTTAAGAACCACCTGCTTCCTCTATATCCCAAGCTTTAACCCTCCATCCACCCTCTCCGGCAAAAAACCACCACCCAAACACAAAACTAGCTTTTGAATCTACTGCTTTTGTTTCTCTGGGTTTGGTCACTGCAGCGGGGTAAGGAGCAGCTCTAACTTTGGTTCTGTTGGATTTATTATCTGCCTGAAATACTGACCCCTGTGTCTGACCTCTCAAAATCTTCCAGGAATAAACCTTGTTTTCCCTTGGGGATACGGAAAAGGGAGAGCTCCTCAGCTAACTATCACCATACGGTCGCTCAACTAGATAGTCTATCAGCCAAGAAAAAGATTTTTCTAAGATTTTTTCCCACTGTGACTACTGGAATGTGGGATAAGCATTAAAGAACTATATGGACTGAGTCATCCTTTTTAGAGTTTCGATCCCATTGACAATCTGAATCAAAATAGTCTCCCTCAGAGAAATGTTTAAATGCACAACTTGCACACAATTTCTGGAATCACAAGGGCCCATCAGAAAACTGGGAGAACCTCCCTGGTGGGAACCAGAATCCCGTCATCTGCCTCTGTACCCTCAGTGCCTGGACTCAGCCACGGTCCACTGACAGAGGAAGGAGGAGTCACGAATGACTGAGTTGGGGACGCCTGGGTGGCTCCATCTGTGAAGCATCAGCCTTCGGCTCAGGTCATGATCTCAGGGTCCTGGGATCGAGTCCCACATCAGGCTCCCTGCTCAGCAGAGAGTCTGCTTCTCCCTCTGCCTCTGCTTGCCACTCCCCCTGCTTGTGCGCACTAATAAATAAATAAAATCTTTAAAAACAAACAAGAAAAAAACAAAACAAAATCATCCTTACATTCTAGAACTCTGACAGCAAGGGATAACCTATACCAGAAAACAATTGAAAGGGTCGATGCAAAGAAATAAAAAATGTTATCAGAAGAAGAGCATAAAACAGAACATGCAGAGGCCAAAGGACTGATGATTCACAAAGGCCCATACCTGGAGGATTGGTCCTTTTAGGGATGTTCTGAGGCTCTTCGGTTGGTCCAAAAATATTAGATGCCATCCTATTGGGCCTGCTTGACGGAGCAGCTTCTTCTGGACTTCCAAAAAGATTGCTGGCCTCTCCTCCCGGGGGCTTCATGGCCCTAGGAGCACAGACTGAGCGTGAGTCACTGATGGCTGACCTGGCTGAATGACACACCGTGATTCTTTAGCACTGGCAAGACTGGTCTACAGACAGCCACACAGCAAGTAAACCTTCACTGCCCTTAAAGTTCTTTTTGTATACCTTGGTTATGCCGAAAACCCTCTAGAAATGTACATACTTGGTAATTATTCCTGTGATCCTTTCATAAGTAAAATTATTTTCCCTAAAACAATGTGGAAACTGAACCACATTCAATAGAGTTTAATGCTCATTTTAATTAGTACCCAACAGTGTTTATTACTACAAACACACTCAGGGTGCCTGGCCAGCTCAGTCAGTAGAGTGTGCAACTCTTGATCTCGGGGTTGTGGGTTCAAGCCTCATGGTGGGTGTAGAGGTTACTTAAAAAATATGTATTAGGGGCGCCTGGGTGGCTCAGTTGGTTAAGCGACTGCCTTCGGCTCAGGTCATGATCCTGGAGTCCCGGGATCGAGTCCCACATCGGGCTCCC